AAAATTGCAACTGCCATCCTTTTCTTCTTCAGGGTCTTTGCTTTAAGAAAAATGTATAATTGTTGGTTTTTTTTGCTAGAAATGTATTGTAAAGCCCCAACAGATTTTAATGTGTGCAAAAAAATCTGAAATTTTCCCTGACAGACAAGTGGTTAAAGGTACCATATATATTATCCATATTAAAATTCTATATCTTTTATTCATGAATTCAAATTCATCAAATCCTTGGAAGGCAAGTCAGTACAGTCATCTACAGTATAATTCAACTATACATTTAACACTTTTCCTGGGCATTAGGTTTAAAGATCTAGTGAATGTCGCTGTTTAGATATTTCATGCATCATTCATGAATTGTAAACACTGGCAAACAATGCCACAAGAGTTTGGGAGTCGAGACAATAGTACACAATTGACAGAAAGCTAGGAAAGCATGACATTTTGCAAATATTTGTAATATTGCAAGTAATGTGCATATGATCTTATGTCAAATTATTAAAATGTTTCTCATTTATTTGAGCCCAACTTAACTCCAAACTTTGTAGAAAGATCAGCTGTCGTACCAGATCCAATTAGACATGTGCAACATGAAAAATTGTGGTTAGTTTAATTTTGGATCTATTCGTTAAGGTACTAATTTAGTTTTGTTGCATTTGTAATGAAATTCATTTAGTTTAGTATTTAGTTTAGAATTTTTCCAATGGATTCAAAGTATTCAAATCGAAATTCTATTTTAAATAAATCAAATCGATAAAATTTCATTGTGAAGAATAGCTGGTTCTATTCTATTAGAAATTCCAAAGACATATTTTTTCCATTCAGTTTTTTTCTATTTTATTATATTCTATTTTATTATATTTTTATTTTAATTTCTGTTCTATTCTATTTCTATTCTTTTATTTTCTATTATATTCCTTTATTTTCTATTCTATTTCTATTTTATTCTTTTTATTTCATTCTATTCTAATCTTTTTCTTTTCTCTTTTATTTTATCTTTCCTATTTTATTTTATTTTCTATTTTGTTCTATTCTGTTGTATATTATTCTTTTCGGAATTCAAATTTTGTAAGACAGATATATTCTAACATGAGTACACATAGTTTTTGAAGGAAATCCGCATTATGTTTATAGTTCTAATTTTGTGTTCAAATTTTTTAATTTGATTCAAATTAAAGTTGAATTTTGGAATTTTGGATTTGTTTAAATTCAATAGTATTGTAATTCGGAAATTTGGATATCTCTGAATAATGAAAATTTTGTCCGAATTTCGATTTAGTCATAGTTTTGATATCTAGATCTAGTGCTACCCTGGTTTTGAAATAATGTACACTAGGGCAGTCAGGGCCTCACCCCTTGCTGTCACCCATTGGAAACGGAGTTAACTGTGATAATCCTAAGCAGAGAAGCGCTGTTAATGTTTGATGGTTTCCGTTCAAACACGTTATCGTCTGCTCCTTGTGCTGCGGTTAATGAAGCTGATTTCTCCAGGAACTTATGTTCCTTGCTTGTAAGGGCACCAGGGAGCGGATTTTTGAGCGGAGTGTCCCTGTGGAGTGAGTTTTTTCCACTAGTATTTACTAACTAGGTTCCAACCTATACACGCAAATCTGCAGGGACTGAAGTAACGTGATAACCTGGCATCTCACTCAGGTTCTGTCTCCAGTGAATTTCATAGCACTTCACTCAGGATTATTACTGACAGACGTAGTATATGCTTGTGCATTAATGTTTTTTATTATAATACAAGCTGTAAAATTAAATTCATAAATGAAAAACCTTTGAGGAAAGGGAATTATCTGTTGGATCAACATTCCCTGCACAGCTGCATATGTTACAGAACTGTTTAGGATAAAAAAAATAATACATACAACATTTGTGTTCAGCCATACTATTCTATAAAATCCATTTGGCCCCCACTACTAAAAGTCAGAGGGAAAACATATTCATTCTCTACCCAATGATAAAAAAAAGTTTGACTAATCATATGCTTGAAAAATAAGGCTAGCCATACAAAAAGCTTCATTTTAGGTTGATTCTTGCTGAATCGTCAAATATTCAAGCAGTGAGTGGTCCTGTCAGTGCCACACATCTGAACAATTTTCCATTGAAAAGTCAAAGGAGCTGCCTGGAAAATTGTTACCCGAATGGTGACTCCAAACAATCTGATGTGGTCAGTCTTCGAGAGCTCAGACAACCCTGGACACTATGTTGTAAAGTGTGCCAGCCAAGCCATTTGAAAGTTAGGTCCCTCCCTTCAGGTCTTTTTTTTTTTTTTTTATCCCTTCAGATCCTAAAATCATTTGTGCTTGTGAAGGCTGAATTCTAGGAAGATATAAAAAACATTTCATGCAGTTGTTTATTTCAGTAGAAATAATTGTATTTTTACATACAAGTACAGTCAGTTCCCCTACATACAAACCTTCAAGTTGCGAACGCTCATAGATGTGATCATTCATTCGTAGGTCTAAATATGTAAGTTGGGTCACGTGTGAATTCTCTGCAGATGGTTGTGCTTTTGTGTATTTTACGTAGAAAGTCCAGTAGTACAGTATCTATATCTCCAGCACAGCAGCATCTAGCCTGGGAGCAGGAGAGACAGCAACAGGAGCCAATAAAGTGCACCTGTATAACCAGGTCCTGATGGGCAACACACAGACAGCAGGATAGAGCAGAGTTGATAAATTGTTTCTGCTCTTTTATTGTCCAATCAGCTGTTGAGGCAATGGTACCACTGTATTCCTTAAAGTGGTCATAAAAGGCTCAAGATTTGCTATGTTCACGCATTCTATGCATGAAGGTAAAAAACCTTCTATGTGCGGCAGCCCCCCCAATACATACCTCAGCCCAAACGCAATACAGCGATGTGCACAAGAGCCTCAGCTCTCTGGGGACTCTCCCTCCTCATTAGCTAAGACAGCAGCAGGAGCCAATAAGAGGAGAGAGGGGGTGGGGCTGAACCGTGGCTCTGTGTCTGACTGAACATGCAGAGCAGCGGCTCGGGAGCGAGCCTGCTAGGATGCCTCCATAGCAAGCACTCAGCAGGAGATATGTTTTGTAGAAGAAATTTAAAAATATATATATTTTTTTCCAAATGTTTAGTCTTTTTTTTGGTAATATAATAAAAGGTAAAAACCCCAGTGGTGATCAAATACCACCAAAACAAAGCTGTATTTGTGTGAAAAAAATATATAAATGTAATTTGGGTACAGTGCTGCATGACCCAGCAAATTTATTTCAGGTACTTATATAGCGCTGTCAATTTACACATCGCTTTACATATTGTACATTCACATCAGTCCTTAACCCTCAAGGGGTGTGCAATCTAAGGTCCCTAACTCACATTCATACAAATACTAGAGCCAATTTAGACAGGATCCAAATAACCTACCAGCATGTCTTTGGGGTGTGGGAGGATCCGGAGGAAACCCACACAGACACAGGGAGAACATGCAAACTCCAGGCAGGTGGTTAGGGTCAAATGCCAGTTAAAGTAGCACAGTGTTGAATAGCAAAAAATGGTCTGGTCATGAAAGGGCTAAAACCATCCGGAGCTTAAGTGGTTAACTTTTTTCAAATTGCTATTTTATTGGATAATCACTTGCTGCTTTGTGTTGAGTAATTATGGATTTAGAAGCATGTTCTACTGGATTTTTCTTTGTTGCATTGTGATTGTGAAACAAAAAAGTCCAAACAGCTTAGTTTTGAAGCACTCCTAAGTGTTACAGGAATTCCTGTACGACCTGATAACATTCTGTAGTTCACTGTAGTCTATATCTATGTAATGCTACAAAGGGGTTATATAACCACACACTGTCTCATAGGCTATATTTAGGTTTTGCTAAATATATATACAGTATATGTAGGCTTAACCCCATGTCGCGCCATAAAGGAGTTCCTGTATGACCATATGACTGTTGTCTCACTCTTCCAAAAGTATGCATTTAAAAAAATATGTATAAAAATCATTTCAAGACTGAGTAGATATAAGAAGAAGTATATAAAACAAGTATAATGTAGATGGCTATAAAATAATCAAAGTGCAAAAACCCATACCAGTTAGGAAGTTTTCAGGTTTAAAAGAGAAGCATGGCTTTGTTTTTTTTTTTTTTTTCTCAGATCATTCTTACCTAGGTGGATGCAGCATCGATCCAGTGCTGCACCTGGGTAAGAACATGATCACTGAGTTTTCACTGCCACAGTGAACATGAGTGGTGACTGTCAGTATGAATGCGTATACACCAACAGATTTGTCAGAAAACATTTACTTTCCTTTCAGAATCAACATTTTTTATGGGACACTATACTACAAAATACTCCCACAAATGCGGGCCATTGATTGCAAACAAGATTTGTTTGCACAAGCAAAAATGTATTTTTCCTAACAAATTCATTCAAGACCATGTTGCAAAAATTAATATACCCCAATGAAAGCCTTAGGAGCAAAGCTAAATTTTAGACAACAAAATCCTAATTAACAAGAATTCAACTACAGGTGAGTCTAATTATTCATTAAACAGGTGTCCAGCAGTCAGTTGATTATAAAAGGGCGTTACTTAACAAAGAAAACCCATTTCATGCTGTCAGCACTGGCACCACATTGAAGAGAAATGTCACAAGGCCTGAGAAAGAAAATAATTTATTTACACAATAAGGGTGAAGGCTACAAGAAGATCAGGAAAGCTTTACTTATCAGTCAGAATACTGTTGCAAAAGTGATACAAAAATGTAACAAAGATGGAACTGCAACCATCTCACAGAGACATCCAGGCTGTCCACGAAAGCTAACACCTAGACAGGAGCATCTTCTGATGAGAAGGGCTGAAGAAAATCACCATGCAAGTTCACTGCAGTTAGCTAAAAAATTAGAAAGCCAAACTGGGGTAATTGTTTCCAGTGACACAATACGGTGTACACTGCAGAGGAATGGCATGCATGGGTATCCTCTATGAGGGAAGCCTCTCCTAAAGCCCATACACAAAAAAACCCGCCTAGAATTTTCCAGGGCCCATGCTCAAAAAGAAGACGACTATTGGGACTCTGTACTCTAGAGCGATGAGACCAAGATACATGTTTTTGGAACTGATGGCTTAAAAACTGTATGGCATCACAAAGGTGAGGAATACAAAGAAAAATGCATGGTGCCTACAGTGATACATGGCGGTGACAGTGCTCTTCTGTGGGGCTGCATGAGTGCTGCTGGTGTTGGGGAGCTGCATTTCTTTGATGGTATCATGAATTCACAGATGTACTGCTCTATATTGAAAGAGAAAATGCTACCATCACTCCGTGCCCTTGGTCGTCATGCACTTTTCCAACATGATCCAAAACACACATCTAAGGCCACTGATGCATTTCTGGAGAACAGGGTGAAAGTGATTCAGTGGTCAAGTATTTCTTCTGATCTGAACCCAATCCAACACCTATGGGGAATTCTGAAGAAACAGGTTGAGCATCAGTCTCCATCCAGCATCCAGGCTCTAAAAGAGGTTGTTCTTGCAGAATAGAAACAGATGTTGCAATATGTCACCAACTTGTTCATTCCATGCCTTGAAGACTTGGTGTTGTCCTTACAAATCATGGAGAACATACTAAATACCAGATGTAGTAATTTTTGCTGTGGGGTGTATTCATTTTTGCATCAACTAATTTGAGTAAAACTGAAGATTTGTAATCGATGTTATATGATTGACTTTATTTTCATGTAATTAGATAAACAAATGTTCTATAAAACTCAGTTTTGTCAAGATTTTGGAAATTGTTCTTGTGTTCATTGAGATATTGATTAAAATCTTACTTTTCAAAAGGGGTGTACTCATTTTTTCTGAGCAGTGTATATATATTTAATTTGTGTATTTAGCTATTGTCTGAAGTTCAGCTTTAAGTGACCCAATGTTCTTGACATAACTTAGGCATACTTAAAGAAGTGTACTAGATTGTACATGCTGCTGTATGAGAAATAACAAATTATTCTCAAAATTAGTGAAAGTGGCCATGCATTAAATCTTTCAGTAAAAAGATATATCATTATTCAAACTCACACCTCCGAAATGGCATTCACTTGAAGGCAGAATGGGATGTTTTTAGAAAGAAAAGAGTTTCTTTGATTATATCCATTTCTACAAGAAAGGATGACTTACTGTGCTGGAAATATCCAATAATAACCTTTTTGACTCCTTTTGGAAAAGATTTAATCTATCTTCAAAATTTAACACACAAGTATTTCTCTAGACAAAGAAAAGGTAAAGGCATTTTGAATCATGGAAAACGTTATTATTACCCACTTGCTGACCAGTCATGTACCTGGTATGGCACCAGTCTTCAAGTGGTTGTACCGAGATGATGCCTGCAGCTTCAGGCTTAAACCCGGTACCATTATATGCAACCGACAGTCGGCTTTCTTGTAATCACAATCAAAGCAGCTAATTAGCTGCTCAATTACTATTACAAGCAGCAGGAGTACATGCCCCCCCTCAGCTGCCTTCCACCTCTTTACCGGGATGTCGTACCGGGAGGTACAACAGGCCAGTTGCTGTCACAATACATTCTTTTTGACAACAATGAAAGTGATCAAAATTTCTTTTGTAAAGTGACAGTGTAAAAAAAAAATATAAGAAAATAAAGTGCCCTCCCTATGTGCTTGCGTGCAAAGGCCATTCAAAGGACCGGAGCCTGAGAAACCAGAAGGCAGACTGGGTGAGGATGGAAGCCTTGTCAGCGGTCATCATTTTTCTGACTGTCAGTAGCATATTTCTCTTTTTAATAGGTTCAAGATTGCTACTCTGCCTGCCAGTTAAATGAAGGCTAATCTGGTCCTCGCTTCTAGGTGCACTGGTGCACAGTGGGAAAAGTGTTGCTTCTGGGAAAAGTGTTGCTGTCGCTTCATTTTCAGGTCCCCTGCCAGTGCTCCCAGCCCCTTCCTCCTGCTGAGTGCCGCCATAGCATGCTGCTTGCTCTGAGGGTACTCGTGTGCTCGCTCCCGAGCCACCTCTGTGTGTTTATGAGACACGCAGAGCTTGGCTCGTTTCAGCCCTGCCCTGCTCCCTCCTCACTGGCTGTGACCTACAACAGTGGGAGCCAGTGGCTCCTGCTGCTGTGTCTCAGCTAATGAGGAGGTAGAGACATGAGAAAAATTCTGCTTTCTTGCAGATTTCTAGATCAGGATTGAAGAGGGAGCAAGGGGGGGAGCTGCACACTGAACATTTTTTTTATCTTCATGTATAGAATGCACGAAGGTAAAAAACCTTCAGGCTTTAGAAGCACTTTAAGTTAAATTAGCAGGCTGAGAAAAAGTGCATGTACATTTTAGATTAAAGGGAAACTTCAGTCCTTTGAAATCTTAAGAGTTGTCGTACAAATGGTCAAAAGCAATTAAAGCAGAAGTAAAATTAAAAAAAAAAAATACAAACAGACAAGCGCTTTATTGCAGAAGACACATGCAATAAAATAAATGCGCCTGTCTGTTTGCAAATGTCTGCAGAATGTACACATGCGTGCTGTGACAGTTATCATTCATGGCATGCTTTAAATGTAACTGTTTTGGGAAACAGTTAAATGTATGAGTTTAGCTGTGCTTTCAGTTTGATAGTTAGCCACCAGTGATATTTCTGTAACAGCATGTCACATCATTTACTTGAACAGACTGCACAACAATCCTGATCTTAATTTTAATATTCATTTTAATCCCAATTTTAGGATTACATTCCATCCTAATCCTAAACAACCTCTTGGTTTGACAGAAACTACAGTGCAATTGTATTTGTCTTTTCTTTACTGCTATAGCCATATGCTGGGTTATGCCAACTATGAATCTTTCTATGCAATGTAGGCAATGTCCTCATTTTTAAATATAACTAAAAGCAAAAAAAGGGGTTTTTTTTTTGTCTTTTCTTCTACTTTAGGAAAAAGTTCAATGTACTCACTGTATTACATGACAAACTGCTAAATATTCTTTGTGCTTGCTTGACATTGTGGCTGTGAACAGCCCATGGACATTCATGTATTTACATATTCTTAGGAATCAGTAAATTAACATTAAAGTAAGCCCTCTGTAGCTGCAGGCACTGTGGAGAAATCCATCCTTTAATTCTACAGCAAAAGCACTGAAGTTCTCTCAGCAGCTTAGCTTACCATACCCCTGTCCCTGCAGTGAATCGGCAGCGCAGCCAATCCTGCTCCTTCTCCTAGCAGTGACTCAAAGGGAGGTCTTACAGCAAAAAAAGCTGGAAGGGGGGGAGCTTGTTTGTGGCATATAGAAGTTATAATAAGGCATTTGACCAGCAGCATAGAGATAGAAGAATTCTTCTGAAGAAAAGGTATTTTCTTTATTCCCTGAAACATTGGTCTTTCTCTCCTTATTCTAGGCCCCGGGGTGATTTCTTTCGGTGATCTAGACCTCTTTTTGAGATAATGTATATGATCTGTACTGTATGTTATTCACATTATATGTGCAAGTTCAGCCATTTTTATTACATACAAGGGAGATTTATCAAAACTGGAGAGTGCAAAATCTGGTGCAGCTTTGCACAGAAATCAATCATTTTCCAGGTGTTATTGTCAAAGCTTAATCGAAGAAGCTGAAGTTAGAAGTTGATTGGCTACCATACATGGATGCACCAGATTCTGAGTGCTCCAGTTTTAATATATTTCCCTTATTATGGCCCAAATTATGGGTTAGCTATATGTACTACAGTATATTGTGCTCTTACTGCTATATGCTCGTACATTTTGCAGTTTTATGTTCATAGCAGTTCCATTAGTCTCAATGTGTGGCCCTGACATTGTGTTAATATGTACAAAGCATTCCCACATGACCGGACCAATGCAAGTGATAATTGGTGGTTTTATTGCTCCATGCATGGCCACCTTTAAAATCACAATGTACAGACATGTAGAACATTTTGAGGCATTTCTAGGTCTTCATTAGAAAAAGTAACATCTCAATAGCATATTAGGATATTATTTTTTTCAGAATTTTTCAGTCATTAAATTAGTTTTAAAATGATTTGAGAAGCATTGTTCTGATGGTTCTATGTAATTGCACTGTAAAGTGATCATCTAATTAGTCATTGCTATACGCACAATTAATTTGTTTAGTGATATTTTCATTGCATTTGGTATGAAAGAAGCCAGGAAACACACACAATAGCATTGGTTATTCCCCATTTCTGATGTTAATTATAGTGGGCTATATTGCTGATTTCCCATATAAACTCACTGTAAGTGTATCATAAGGAAAAAATTGGATTTTTATACCCACTATAAAATCCTTTTTTGCAGTTGATTTAGAGACACGGGATTCAGATATAAATAGGTAATTGGACATTGGCAAACAAAAAAAAACTGTATTAGGATCAACAACAAAAAAAGTGAACGCTTAGAGAGGGAAGCAGCTAGCACAGAATTGGTGACAAGCCAAAAAAATATAAATGAATAAAGTGAATGGGTGCAGCGCATAAATAAAATGCATATGAGATATAAATATCAATGGAAATAAATTCACATACATTCATCAGTGAAAAACTTAACTGAAATCTAAATACCACTATAAAGTGAATAAAACAATTAGTGATTAAAAAAAAAAGTGCTCTCTGCTGCGATCCCCCTGGAGCCCTTTTTGTTTTCGTTTTCGTCTCCTTCCTCTTCATTCTTCTCTTTCCTTTAGTCTAGTCTGTTTTCATGCTATGTGTACTGATTGTGATTATTGCTTTGAGTGCCGCCCCAGCAGTACTATATCCTTATGCTGGACTCCATCGGAAGCCCTGCGTGTGGAATGCCCATTTTTATTCAGAGAGGTTCCATCCCATAGCATCTCCGCTTTCTATATGTTGATATAGTGACAATTTTTCCTTAGAGTTTATACTCTCATTGGTCTATAAACATTTCCCATTTTTGCAACTTATTGTTTTCTCCCCCTTTTTTTTTTTCCCCTCTTTCTGTACTCGACACTTAAGTATGCTGTTTATTTCTATGTCTCTCCATCAGTACATATTTTGAAATATTCATTGAATACCTTGTATGTTTTATTCCTGTTGGTCAATGTATCTGTTTTTGCCTGATTCACTGCTCCTATCTATTCTATAATAAAATTCTTTGTAAAAGAAAAAAAAAAGCGCTCAGTCCGAAAATAATGTCCAGAAATAAAACATGAACTCTTCATATACAACAATTCATCTGTGCAGATAGTCAAACGGTGAAATCTCCTTGCATAAATCAACCACCACTATGCACTCACCAGAAGGCAAAATATAATTGCGTCCAGTGTGTGCTACAACCTCCACAGATCGCTCATCTTAACAAAAAAAAATTACCAGTCTGGTGTAACACTTCCCACTCCACATGCCTCAGTTTTGTAAAAA